AGGGGGGGCAGGATGGGTGCACCCACTGTCCCATGGGGAGCGCTGGCAGGCTCTGGGACAGGGGTGCTGGGTGCAGCTGCTCAGCACCTGCAGCCACGGTCCCCTTGGCCCCTCTCCAGGCGATGCTCTTGGAGCAGATGGGCCAGGCAGCTTGGCCATCCGCTCCCAGCACAGCTGTGAGCCGACCATCTCCGCCTGCCTTCCTGTCGAGCATCCTGCAAGGCGTGGGGCATGGGGCACAGTGCTCCCGGTGCTGCGTGGCCCCAGGGTCGTGCGCTGCTGCTGAGAACCCTTCCCCTCTCAGCACAACAAACGAGCTCTGTCCCCGAGCAGGAGGTGCGCAGGCTGGCTCTGGCTCTGTGGGTCTCGCCCTCCTGGCATGGGGCTGAAGCCTTGAAGCCAGAATATGGTTTTAATTTGGAGGGGAGCCGGTGTGGAGGGACTCTGTGGGCACCGAGGGCTGGTAGGGGTGCTGATGCCGTGTTCAGGAGGGGGAGAGCTGACCAGAGCCACGCGCTGCAGAGAGCCCAGGTGCTTACCCGCCTCTCTCCGCTCCTGCAGCCCCTGCTCACCTGGCCGACAGCATCCATAAGAAGAAGCACACGCGCCCAACCTTCACGGGGCACCAGATCTTTGCTCTGGAGAAGACTTTTGAGCAGACCAAGTACCTGGCGGGTCCGGAGAGAGCACGGCTGGCCTATTCCCTTGGCATGACTGAGTCCCAGGTGAAGGTGAGTGTGGGTCCCCACGTGGCACGGGGTGCGTGGTGTGGTGGCTGGGAACGGAGCCAGTCTCGTGGGGCGGCAGGTCTGGTTCCAGAACCGACGGACCAAATGGAGGAAGAAGAGCGCCCTGGAGCCCTCCTCATCCTCGCAGCGGGTGGGGGGCTCTGGTGGAGAGCGAGTGGCCTCTGAGACCGAGGACGACGAATACAACAAGCCCCTGGACCCTGACTCAGATGACGAGAAGATCCGGCTGCTGCTGAGGAAGCACCGCGCTGCCTTCTCGGTGCTGGGCTTGGGCGTGCACAGCAGCTGAGCGCTGGCACAGCCCACCCCTCTGGGCCGTGGGGCGCCTGGCCCGGCTGCCTGCTTCCCGACAGGGGGGTGACCCCCAGCAGATGCCCAGCTGTGGGGACGGGGAGGCTGCTGCCCCCCTCCTGGTGGCTCCTGCCCAGGGATCGTGGCTTGCAGGGCTGGGAACAGCACGTGTGGGCAGCGCCAGGCACGGCCGTGCTGTCGGCTTTCATGAAATAAAGGTCCCAGCCCCAGCCAAGTCCCAGCGCTTGCTTCGCGGGCGTGCGGTCCAGGGTGCCCTCGTGAGGCTGGGCTGGAGGAGGGGCTGGGATAGCACCTATGGGACAGGGTCTGCGTGCCAGGCAGGGGAAGGGGCCACGGCTGCTGTGCTGCGTGTGGGGCAGGAAGAGCCCCCAGGAGCACGGCAGCCCCTTCGCGGGCGTGCGGTCCAGGGTGCCCTCGTGAGGCTGGGCTGGAGGAGGGGCTGGGATAGCACCTATGGGACAGGGTCTGCGTGCCAGGCAGGGGAAGGGGCCACGGCTGCTGTGCTGCGTGTGGGGCAGGAAGAGCCCCCAGGAGCACGGCAGCCCCGCTGCCTTCTCGGTGCTGGGCTTGGGCGTGCACAGCAGCTGAGCGCTGGCACAGCCCACCCCTCTGGGCCGTGGGGCGCCTGGCCCGGCTGCCTGCTTCCCGACAGGGGGGTGACCCCCAGCAGATGCCCAGCTGTGGGGACGGGGAGGCTGCTGCCCCCCTCCTGGTGGCTCCTGCCCAGGGATCGTGGCTTGCAGGGCTGGGAACAGCACGTGTGGGCAGCGCCAGGCACGGCCGTGCTGTCGGCTTTCATGAAATAAAGGTCCCAGCCCCAGCCAAGTCCCAGCGCTTGCTTCGCGGGCGTGCGGTCCAGGGTGCCCTCGTGAGGCTGGGCTGGAGGAGGGGCTGGGATAGCACCTATGGGACAGGGTCTGCGTGCCAGGCAGGGGAAGGGGCCACGGCTGTGGTGCTGCGTGTGGGGCAGGAAGAGCCCCCAGGAGCACGGCAGCCCTGGGGACCACAGGGTTTTCCCGGGTTTGGGCGTGC